CACCAAAAGTCGCTGGCTGGGGAGCTGCAGGGAATGGGCCGCTTTGTGCAACTGCAGTGGCGTGGCCCCGCTCCCGCTGCTGTTGCACAGACCCTCCGGTCTGTGCCAGCTCTTCCACGTGTTTCCACCCACATTCTACCTGCGCCTGCTGGGAATCCCAGTTCCCGCAGCCTGCCCTGCAATAAAACAGCACGTGCTGAGAGCGGGATGCCAGCGACCGGCCGTGCCTCCCCCGAGAAGGTGGGACCCTCTCCCTGGGTCCCAGCACCGATTCTTGCCCCCCTGGTAGCCATCCAGCAGCAGGATCGCACGCCACCTTCCCTTCCCCAGACCCTCACCTGGCTGTCGCCCCATCCAGTCCTGCGCCGCTCCCGTGGGACTGGGGGCTGTGCTGGTGGCAATCCCTGCGCTGGCCCGAGAGCACGGGCAAAGCGCAGCTCCCCATGTCCCAGCATGGTGGGAGATGGGTGAGAACGCTGGGCCGGCTCCGTTTTGGCCACTGGCATCCCAGACCCGAGGTCACTGGGCTCTGCTCCCTTTCCCTAAAAAACCTACAGCTTGAAGAAGAACACGCACACGTATTTCTACACCAGCTTTGTGGCCTACATCTTCGGGCTGGGCCTGACCATATTCATCATGCACATCTTCAAGCATGCCCAGGTGAGCTCCGCTGCGCTGCCTGCTGCAGATGCACGTCCCAAGCGGGACACGCCAGCTTGGCCACAGGGTTCCTGCATCATGCCAGGAAAAAGTAGATGCATTCCTTCTCTTGGCTTTGCTTTTCCAGTGCCTGCCTGTACCTTTCCCTGCCCAAAGCTTGTGTGCCTGGTTGGAGCAGAGTCCTGTTTGGGGCAAGGCTGCTTCAGGCAGCTGCATTTCCAACAGCAGCACCAGGGCCGGGCTGCCCTGTGTTTTTGTGGCTCTTTGCAACGAGGCTGCCCCTGAAGACCCACACGCTGTGGGTGGTGGCGCTGGTCTGCACGGGGGCCCTTGGTGTGTTCATGGCCCGCTGGGACCTCATGGCGAGGGTTTTGTGCTGCTGCAGCTGTAACTTGGCTCTCCAAGCCGCTTTTGGGGGCATTAACCCTCTGTGCAGCACTGTGACAGATGCCGTGGGTGCAGAGGGGACAGGGCCAGCTCGCCTCGTGCTCCTCCCGGGGGCTGATTCGTGGTTTGGTTTAACAGTTGTTTTTCTTTCCAACAGCCTGCTCTTCTGTACCTGGTCCCCGCATGCATCGGATTCCCACTTCTTGTGGCCTTGGCAAAGGGAGAAGTAACTGAAATGTTCAGGTGAGCGTCAGCTGGGGATGGAGCTGTTTTGCCCGCGGCGCTGGAGCGCGTGAAGCGTGCAGATGTTCCCACGCCTGGGCACATCTGGAGGGACGGGTTCATCTGGGCATGCGTGTGCACGTGTGTGGGTGGAGGGAGCGGGTCTGTGTTTGTACACGCCGGCCCTGGCTCCAGCCACCTCCTCGTAGCTGGGTGGGAGCTTTGGTACGGTACCAACAGGCAGGCAGCATCTGGTATTGCTTTACGCCCCGGTGACAAACTCTTCCCGTACGCTGGCAGGCAGGGGAGGGTGGGACCGCGCACCTGGTGCTGAGATACTTGGTCATTGTGTCCCAGGGCCTGTGGGTGGGGGAGAACGGAGCCAGAGCCGGCTGCGAGAGCAGCCAGGGCCGGTTTGAGCACATCCCAGCCTCCCTGCTCGGCTGAAGCATCCTGGTTTGCAGCAGTCTCCCTGCTCTGGGGACTGTAGGTGCAGAGAATGGGGTCTGTGCTGTTGCGCTCTGGCCCTTCTCGCAGTGTGCCACGCTCCAGGCGTTCGCCTGTTTGCTGGCAGTGGGCAGCTTTGGTCTCCTGCCTGGACTGTCCCCTCTGAGCTGAGCATGGGCTGGCCTGCCTGGGAGCTGTTTCTCCACTGTGCTCGGCTGGTTGCGCTTGAGGCTTGGTGGTGGCCCAGTGCAGTTGCTTGTTTGAGGACGGCTGAAGCCAAGAACGGAAGGGAACATCCGTCCCAAAGCAAGGCCGTGCACCCCCCAGCCTCCCCGCTCCGGGGTGCCTCTGCCCTAGCCCTCAGCCTGCTCAGAGGGAAACCAGCACCCGAGTGGGGTGCAGTGGGGAGCTGGCTGCCCTCACCTCCTTCCCCTCCCCTGGGAGATGCAGGTATGCGTGTTCCCACCGGGCTGTCAGCTGGGCCGGCTCCCCCGCCCTGCCGCACCTGCCCGTCCTTTGATGTTCGCTTCTGACGATCGCTGCTGCAGGCGCTGAGTGTCCTGGGATCGTCCTTCCTGTGCACCTGGGATCCTGCAGCCGCTCTCCCCGCTGCCATGACTCACCGGCTGACAGC